AGCTCCCTTGACATAGTTTCGGATGCAGGATTGACAAAAGGGAGGGAAGATTTGGAGGAAAGAGAGGAAAGAATTGGAGGAAAAAGAGTGAAGGATTGGCAGAAAAGGCTCAGGAAAAAGAGGGAAGTATTGGAGGAAAAGAAGGGAGGGATTGGAGGAAAGGAAGGAAGGGTTGGAAGTAAGGATTAGCAAAATAATTCAAGTTAATATTTTAGAATTTTATTCGAAAGGAAGGAATTTTTGTTAATTAGGATTTAGGAATGGATATTTCGAAGTAATATGTGGATATATAATAAATAAAATAATAAAATAATAAATGGATATTTCGAAGTATGAACGGCGGGTCAGCACACATTGGCTCCATTGTTATGCACGGCATTTCTACAAAGGCATCGCCACTCTTGTCGGCAATTCTGTTATAATGACAACTCACTCAATTAAGTAAAAACATGGCCAACGTATCAGGTGCCATTTTTTTACACAAAGTAACTGACATTAGAGTTATAATACAAAAAGTGATTCATAATGTGTCGTTCAGAGGGGTTATGATACTACTGAATCTAGCCGATGGTTATGTTGAACACCTGAGTGAAATAATGATCTAGTTAAGGATAAAATAGTTTTCTAATATGCCAATTAAAATTGACATGTTCAGTAGTTATGGGTTGGGTTTCATTATTTCATTAGCACATGGATAAGAAAAGTAGTGTAAAGTTTTATTTTCACTACATTAATGTGCACAAGGCCTGTTTCTATCTATTGTGGATAGATGAAGACAAGACGAAAAATAGAGGGCTAGTGAGAGAGGGCCTGTACGTGGCCGCGGCCTCCACAGCGCGGCTTTTGGAGGCGGCGGACCAAATATCCAGGGCTCGCCTACTTGCGGCGGCGAAGAGAGAGAGTGGCTTGTGGCTCCACGCTATTCCTTCGGATGCTCCTGGAACACTTCTAGATCCCGACTCCTTCCGCGTCTCAATTGCTCTTCGAGTTGGCGCAAATGTATGCGAACCCCAAACTTGTCGGTGCGGAAAGCGGATGGATGCACGAGGGCTGCATGGCCTTTCTTGTAAGTACAGCGCTGGGCGACATCCAAGACACTCGGCTCTGAACGATGTGATCAGGAGGGGTCTTCAGAGCGCTGGCGTTCCTTCATGCCTTGAACGCGTTGGAGTGGACAGAAGGGATGGTAAGAGACCAGATGGCTTAACGGTTTTCCCATTTTCTAATGGGAGGCGTTTGTGCTGGGATGCAACCTGCGTCGACACTTTTGCTTAGTCGCACGTCAATAATTCGGCTATTTCTGCTGGGTTCGCGGCTCGTGCGGCAGAGGATAGCAAGAGACGTAAATACGCGGCGTTGGCAGCTCGGTATCGTTTCGAGCCAGTCGCATTAGAAACGACGGGCACATATGGTGAAACGACTGGTCCTTTAATATCACAGATTGGCCGTCGCATTACGGAATTGTCCGGCGAACAAAGAGAGACTCAATGGTTGGAACAAAGGTTGGGTTTGGCTGTGCAGAGAGGCAATGCAGCTAGCATCCAAACAGCAGTCAGAGAAAAGTTCGATGTGGGCCCGCTCCTCGCTCGCGTCACAGCTCAGTGACCCTCGGAGTCGGTGTAGGCCACCATCAGAGGCGTTAAGGTCGGGGCCCTGATCATTGACATGAAACCATTCCGTTTTTAATTAATAAAATTAATTCCTTTTTGTTGGAATGGTGAGTGTGGGAGGCTTTTTTAAAAAAAAAGTGAGAGGTTCGGTGATAGCATGTTACAAAATTAAGTGTTAATTTCAGCAGCCGTGCCTCAGAATGTGAGGATATATTGTGATAAATAGACTAAATATAGAATTTATAATGAATGAATTCCGATATGACTCAACTTGCGTAAACACTTCTTAAGGACCAGCTTCTGAAAATTGAACTCACACCAGCCGTGTTGCTAGAGCCGTGACAGAGGACGGACGTGTCGTGTCGTACCGGTCCTGATATGACTTTTTTTTCTATTGCCGGTTGGTGGCAGTGCACGCATCTTGTACAAAGTGTTTCAGTGAAAAGTCTGAAATTCTGTGAATTCTTTTTCAGTGAAAAGTCTGAAATTCTGTGTGAAGTCAGTAATGAGAGCGTGTATAGAGAACAAAGTGGATATTAAAAGCCATTTTACCGAATTTCGCTTTTCCCGTTAAGTGTTAAGATTTCATTATATCGGCCCAATTTGTGAGTAAATATAACAAATTTTTACCAGTGAATTAGTTCAGTGATCTCGTAATTGAGAGAGTAAAAAAAAATAGAACATATCAGAGAACAGTAAAAAGTACCACTAAAAATGGCAACAAAAGCTTGTACAAGCCAACCATCTGGAGAATGCCTTGAATGCAAAAAACTAAATTATGGCAAATTTGCGCTGCGATGTAATTCATGCAGCCTGTTCTGTCACTTTGAATGCTCTCTACTGCCAGTATACCAACTTGCTAGATACGTAAAGACGAGGGTGTCATTCATNGCATCAGGTGGCCCAAATGAGGGCGGATGAACGATAATCAGAGGCGGCGATCCATCGTGGCCTGGGACTGCTATGTCCCAAACAAATACTAAGGATACAGCACCAAAGTATAAAAAATCACGGCTAAGAATTCATCGAACTTCTGATATCAACAAAACGAATTTCTCGCAGGGAATAGTTTTAACTAATTAACAACGTTGATAAACAGTCTGGACGTATGTAGCATATTGAGAGCTGTTATATCTTCAGAGCTGCTCTCACTGGATCGACACTTCTCCGAACTCGCCTGCGCGAGTTCGGATCATAATTCTGGAATCGATTCCTCGATTGTATCATTTATTTATCAATGCATTCCATTAAGCCCACATTTATTAAGAGTAATGACTTTACAAATATCTGAACCGTCGCTGAAACATCCGCCTCAGAAAGTTATATTGGTTTTGTACGTCGTCATTATATTCGCATCTCATCAAAATTTCCATGGATTGATTTCCTCTCCGTTTCTTAGCGTAAAAAATTATTCTGACAAAAAAAAAGTTCTGAATTGCCTCGGAAGTTTACCCATATATGCACGATATCCGCCGCTAATATATATATTATAATGAATACCCAGAAAGTGCAAAAATATGCCAATGATAACTAACACGTAGTTACGGTATCGGGCCACTAGCTACGTGTCGGACAATTTTACTGCCGGTCTCTTACTTTAATGACCAAGGAATATCTGCAAAATTAATGAACGCAGCTCGATGAAACTTGGTACCATATATATTAGAACATAACGGTGATGTTTAGCTCGTGTTTTTTTTCGATTTTGCTTTCGTTCGAGATTTTTTTCCTTTTCACCTTCATCGTGAGTCATACAGCAATACGGGAAATTCGCAGTGACCAAGATATTTCTTTTACAGTAATTTACACTAATGAAGATTTGAACAAATTTTTGAGTATATACATTTCTAACCACCCACCAGCTAATTCAGCTCGTAAAGCCGAAGTGGAACACAGTAATTTCCACTTGAATTATCTGCCATAAAGTTCGAATTATTCATAAAAATGTTCATTCATACGTTCAACAGTGTATTTGAAGTATTGACGTATAACTCACGAACGAGGGAGAAATCGAGAATTTAGCATGAGCTTAACATCACCATTAGGCATTAGGTCCTAATGAATACTTGTAGAAAGTTACATTGAGCTCGTACAGTACTTTCAGAGATATTTCTTGGTCATTGCAAATTTGAAAACCGGCCGCAAAATCGATCGGCCTAGGAAATACCGGTGTTTCTCCGTACAGCCGTAATTCTAGCAAACGAAGTAAAAATCGAAAAAAAATGCTACGAGCTAAACATCACCGCTGCGTGTTTAGGAATGTATATTCATTGTATCGTTAAAATCTGTTCAGTAGTTTAAAAGAAATGTCTTGGTCACTGCAAATTTCGGCCTGGTGCACCGTATAACTCATGAATGAAGGTAAAATTGAGAAAATTTTCACTAGCTAAGCATCACCGTTAGGTCCTAATGAATAAGTGCACCAAGTTTCATCGAGCTGCGTTCATTAGTTTGGGCGATATTCCTTGGTCTTTGAATTGGGAGATATTCCTTGGAGACGGGTCATCAAATTGTCAGAGACGTCCTATACACGAGGAGCGTATTTGGTAAACAGTCCGCAGGTATCAGTGCGTCGTTTGGAGCCGTCGAGTAACATCAATGCATTGTGGCAAATTGTCGAAATGGAACGTATCGGTAATGACGACTTTGAGGAGGTGTTCGATGAAGTAGTTGGTGGTATTGTTGACACTCTTGCTGAGGAGGTGAACCACTTTGTAGATAAGTGTAGCGTGTGGGTGAGAGGCCTAATAACGTCTCGTTTGAGTTTCAATATGATACTTTCTCAATTAATTTTTGTTGGAATATTCATTGTGACGTAGGTAAATTCCACAGTAGATCGTACTTTTGGAATATCTATAAGAACATTTTAATATTATCTGAACACCTTGCCGTTAATAGAACCGTCGTTGCTGGGACAAGACATAGTTCATGACATTAGAAACACTTGCCCTAAGCAGCATACAGAGCGTCATATACGTACACACTACGACTGCAGCAGAGCTTCTGCCGATACTAGAGTAACCAGTAACCACTAACCAGACCACAAATAGACAACTTGAATGCAGACGCAAACACATCAGCAACTCTCACCTGAAGAATATATCGTCACAATATTTGAGGCGCGAATACTCGCAGCTAACAATAGCCCCGCGTACACGCACCTTAACAGAGGGAAATGAATAATAAAATTACTCTTTCGCGGTAATATTACGTGGGAATGGCACTCAATCTAAATTTGAGTTTCTGTGATTATAACATACCGTGACAGGAGACAATGTTTATATATTTTTTAATACAAGTCAGTTTAGACAAAGTTGGGCTCGAAATCAACGTAATACACGAGATAATTGTGTTCGAGAATACCATTTTGGGGTAAATAAGTAAACCAGAGCTTCTTTGCATACGTTTGTACTAAATATTAGCTCCAGTTTACAAACGAAAAAGAAAATTCACAATAAATAGAGCAATAACGATGTATAAAATAAACCTCATGCGTGATACTACATAAAATTTTTCATTGCATAACGCTGTGCAGTTATTCACGTCACGAAGAATTAGGAGAATTTCGGAAACTACTGGAATTAGAAGAAATAATGCTGGCTAACACCTTCTGATCTATACTGATGGCTGCCGAAATACTAGTCGATTGTTCAACGGTTTTTCCATTAGATTTGATCACATTCTGCACCGGCGTCAAGCCCTTGCTTGTAGAGGTCGATATTGATGTATATGTTGGTATCATTTGCGGCGGACTTGGATCCGTTCCTGGTTTACTGGTACTTTTGGTAAGAATTTTAGCAAGTTGATGAGCGCCGCTGGGCCGAACGGGCGTTTGCTGAACAATTCGAGCAACCATGGGCTTGCTAACTCGCGTTGCTGTCAGGTTAGCCTGTGACTGAGGTCTTACAGTCGAAGTGCTCACGCTTCCACCACTTGGCATAACCTACACAAAATGAATAACAAGACAAGCATTGAAAATACTAAGTAAAACAGATATCAATCGTAAGCAGTGTACCATGGTTTCATGTGTGCCATGGTTTCCAAATTATTGATTACAAGATATTCAAGAATTAGTGGTACAAGGTTTAGAAGAGCTGAAAATAAAACTTGTTTTGGCACGAAACGAAATAACACAAAGTCACGAAAATAAATAACCCACATTTCAAGTTAGAGTGAGGTTTACCTTTAGCGTATGAAAGGCCTGAAGCCCTTTGATTGAAATCTGGCCGCCCTGTAATGTGCTAGCAGGCAGCACGATTTGTTGTTGCAGCTGACCGGTGTTCGATCCTCCCTGGGCAGTGACCAGCACTTGTTGTCCTCCGATGTTCAGAACCTGGCCAGTAATTTTCTCACCGTTCATCAACACCTGCGGATAAGGTTAACGTGGCTGATGCACGAATTTATTTGATTCCGTTGTATGTGAAAACGATAGCTTTAAGGTAACATTTTTACAAAATTCTCAAGGCAGTGTAATGAAATTAGAATTATTCGGTGGATGTAAGATAACGTACTCTTCTTATTTAATACTAACTAAAATCACGTTCCAAATGAATTCCCACAGAGGATAATGTTTGTTCTTTAACAAGACACAGATCGGAATAACAAGATCTGGTTTGCTGCACAGCCGAGGCTCACATACTCTGCACATAGCAGCCCGCTTAATGCGTATATTGCACTATTTTAATCTGTGTGACTCACTTGACATGTAATTATTTCGGTTCGGCATAAAAAGTCGTTACAAGCGAGACCACAACTTTCGCAGGTGTGTAGGCAAACGGGGGCGAACAATTAACAGCGAGAGGAAACGATGACGCACCTGACCGAGCTTATCCCCAGAGACGATCACTTGTCCGCCCTGAGATACATTCTGTGCAGCAAGGATGACTTTGTTGCCGATGCTGATCAAGTTGCCCACACCTCGCGTCGCCTGCTGCAGCATGGGACAAGATTAGACGTCTGGAGGTTGTCTGCTGTCGCTAGTCATTAGGTTGTCTTCTTGCGCTAGTCATTTTGTACGGCCAAGTTCTGACAATCCGTCCACTCATTAACGTGTTATGAGCTCAATAAAAGTGAAAGATTTCATGAAAAACTTCAATGATGAAGCAATGGATGAGAGACGATGTTTTAAACCCAAAACAGCAAAACTGAGTCCTAAACCCTTCGCATAAAAGGTTATTCTTAATATCATTTGCCGTTGGTATCCTATATCTCAAGAAAAGCCCACCATTCAAGCAAGATTTACCAATTTTTCCTAATCGCCACGGGCGCGCTAGAAAACGGACTTCATTTCGAATAACCTGTATAAAAAGCTGGCGATTAACCTCGCAGGTTTTGTCGTTCGGTGGCTATATAGGCCACTGAATGAGAAATATATATTTAAAAAGAGGGATATACTTCTAAAAGCTGTAATTAGGGCGTACGTGAGGTAAATAAATATCTATCAACACTTTATTTGATACGGTATATCCGGTATTACACAAATCCTCTTACAAGAGTAGATAGCTTGCAGCTGGTACCCGAAGCGATAAGGGTTATGTCAGACTGCAGGAATTCCATTCTACACCGTCGTATGCATTTGAGGCAATTTTTTTGTTTCCACATTCTAATAACATTTGCTCAAAAAATACTTCTACTTTTTTATGCAATCTTTATGAATAGTGATTTAAACCGTTCACACATTTAAAGAAAACTGAAGCCTAAGCGATGCTGTTAATTTCCTAACCTTATTCCCTGCAGCGGAGTGCGTGACAGGTGCGACGATGAGGCGCTGCTGATGGACGCCAGTCTGAGCCGCGCTGCTCGAGCTTTGTGGCACAAACGTGGCGCTCTGCACGCCGCTGCTGCTTGATGCTGCAAGTACACCACAGTTCGTTACTTGCTTCTCACTCAAGCTAATTTCAGGCTAATATAGCCGAGAAACATATATATTGTATATGTCTCTATATCTATAAATATTATATAATATTTGGCTAATATAGCCGAATATAATATTGCCGTTCTTTACTCATAGTAAATGAAGTACCTAATCGAGAATCTAACAAGTATATATAGCACACTGGATATTAAATTAAATGATATCCGCACGTGCAGGGAAACTAACGCAAAGAATATTGGAATTAACACGTTGACTACGTATTGGTACAAATGCGTACCACGAAATGTATTTCTCCAGGAGGTAGTGGCACATAATTCAGGTTGCCTAAAACCGGCCAAATCCGAGAACAAAAACGGCCAAAAAAGGCCGATAATTCAATGTATACTAGTTTATTTGTAGGTTTCGCTATAAAAATTCCATTTATTTTCTTTTTGCAGTATTTAAAATTTAATTAGAAAGTACCCCTATCATAAATTTTAGCCGGCCAAAGCATTTGAGAAAAACTAAGTCACGGCATTCGTCCGGAAAAAGTGACCGTCTGGCAACCCTGCTTAATTAAAAAAAGTACAAAAAATGAAATAAAAGTACAAGATGAAGCAATCGTAGTCAACGTGTTAAACAGTATAGATGATAAAGAATCCCCCCCAGGAGGTACGTATAAGCATGAACAAAAAAAAAACAGCAACAACTAGGAACAAGCTTTGACATCCTTGGTTGCTACGTTACGCATTCATGTAGTGCTACTATTCGACATGACAGACAAAGTTCAGTATATTTAGTAAGCTAGTTAATTTGTGAATATAGAAGCCAAATGGAATAGTAATTTCCTCACACAGAATAGTAATTTCTTTTAATGAATTTACTCACATGTTATTCATTTGTATAATTACTTATGAATTTTGATGGAATGAAAGGAGAAATGAGAATAGATCACGACTCACCAACAGAGAGCGGCTGCTTTTGTGGCTGTAAAGTCACCAAATGCTGCACATTTCCTTGCATCACCTGCCAAATAAGTAGAAACAATTTTTGGGAATGTCGAGAGCAGTTTTTATGCTGAAGGCTCATGCTTTCGTAGACTTTATTCGTGACGTGATCAATATTAAATGTTCATGAATACTTCTTGAATTTGTCGCTTTCGTCATGAATAATTAAATTACCAAAATGGCGATAAAAGAAGATTTATTGAATCCAACGAACTTGCATGAAAATAACTAGTGGACCAACCTTGCCGCCCTGCAGGAGCACCTTGTTGCCAGACACGACCAGCTTCTGCCCAATGCCTGGTGAGGAACATGGCCAAGATAGCAATGATGCTCAGATATTTTTTATTGTGCCGGAACTTTCACTAGTTTAGTTGGCACAAAAAGAGCTGCAATTTCACAAGAAGTGGATTTCCATATTAAGCTACTGACATTGGTGGATAATTAGCAAAGTTTTCAATGCAATCTAACGCCTCTTAATCAAGAGGAAAAACATCCAGAGCTGGAAAAATCAACATCACGATCAAATATTTTGTACCGAGAGTTGCCCTTACCAGGCTGCAAGTGAGCTGCGCCCTGTACAAGCTTAAGGCCCGCCAGCTGCTGCGGCGCGATGCTCTGGAAGCGCGTGGTGCCGCTCACCGTCACTGTGGTGGCACTGGGGCTGGTGCAGGTGTTTGTACTGGACGCCGCGTGGGACAAGTTCCGTACCGTCATGTCACCTCTGAATGAATAAAGTATTGCTTATAATTCAGCAAATTAAAATAAACCATAACCGACGCAAATTTTTTTAAGATTGAGTTTTCCAGGAATAGCATATCGGACTTTAATGAGGGCTGGGATGAATGATACAGGTTCACTTGCTTTAGGGTTCTCCATCATGTACAAATACACCGCCCTCAGCTGTATGGTCATACATTTGAAAATAAAACTCAATATTAATATTTTTCACAATTTTAATTTAATGAATGTTAAACGCACTTGAAGTTATTTACAAATAAGCTTCAAATAGCATAATTGAGACTTAAAACAATATGCATTCAACTGAAACATAAATAAATGAATCGAACCAATTCCCTGGTCTTCGTAGTCTGTATCACAGTCAGCCACTCAAGTCAAGAAGTAAATAGTGCCTAGAACATTTTGATGCGATCTCAATAATTTCGCAGCAGTCAAGAGCATAAATCGCTCACCAGACATCAGCACACAACACAAGAAGCCCGCCCAAATATGTAAAACCATATTATTAAACACAATCATGATACAAAACCTGTCCAAGTTGTGTCTTTTGGACAAACTTTAGTATTAAATTGAACGGAAGTGTGAAGACATTCAACAGACAGGTTGGTTGTAGAGCTGAGGCTACTCACCGGTTGGGTGTAGAGCTGAGGCTGCTCACCAGTTGGGTGTAGAGCTGAGGCTACTCACCGGTTGGGTGTAGAGCTGAGGCTACTCACCGGTTGGGTGTAGAGCTCAGGTTGCTCAGCACAGTCGGAAGGTTGGCGCTGCTGCTACCCAGCGACCGCACAGAAACCCGTGGGGAGCCGACAGACGCTGTGGGTCCAATGCTCATGGAGACCTGGCATGTCAACACATCAGTCTTAACAACAAAATCTGGATAACCTAAAGCTCGATTTATATAAACCTATTTCAATGTGTAAGTACCGAAATCTGCAGAAAAAAAACATTTACGCGATCAAATGTTTCAGGAAAGATTTTCCAGCTAATTTAAGATATTAAGGACCAATTATTGTTCCGGATCTTAAGGCGAAATAAAATTAATTTGACGATGACAACACCTGAATTGAAGATGACAACGCCTGAATTGAAGATGACAACGCCTGTTAACAATAGAGTGGCGTTTATAGAAAGAATTTAGTCATGATTCAACGAACTTTCACAAATCTGCAATTAAAGGGCGAAATTCTCAAATTAAAAACTAGAAAATTTATGAATTTTTTATATCAGTAGCAAGAAGGAAATTGTGCATAAAATTCCTTACAACTGTCGATGTGGTAGGAAGTGATGCCGTTTCATGGAGGGTGGCAGCACCTGGAAAAGCCATCAAGTATTGTAGCAAATATAACAGAAAATGAAATTACTGAAAAATAAATCTAAAACCATAGTGCATGTTCAACAACATAAGATCTTGCTCTAATTGCTTTAAACATTTTAGCGCAGACGATCATTAACACTATTGAGATGTTCCTACTGCGAGAACCAAACAAACTTTTGCACAACAAACCTTAGATCACTCGAAGCTAATAATCTTCATTTGGTTAATATCTCATTAATTTGAGCATTGCCTTGACATTTCATGCAATTAAACAGTATAAGACGTAACCGCATGAAGCTAAGCTAGCCTGTCCTGTTATACGTCATAAGCTAACCCATTTATCTGCGAGTATTACATAGAGTAGCTAACAGTTTAAATACTGTCAGAGTACAGAATTTGGTTAACCAGGATATTGCCCACAAATGTTTCCGGCGATTTTACCCATGCTATTGATGAGAACACCCACCACTCAGTGCTGGAACTGATGAGCTGAGACGCACGATGGCAGGCGACTGACCGGGCGTTCGTTTCACTGGCGTCGTCACTTGACTCAACTGCGCGATGTTCAGGCTTCCTCTGCCTCCACCTGATCAAAACAGAACTCTTCAATTATTCTGTATTATAAACAATTCTACGTCTTGGATCAAGTTTTAATGACACAGTCGGATCAAGTTTGAATAAAGTTTTATGTGAGCGATACTATTGTATGTATTGCTTGGTTATACCTACTATAAATAAAACTTTTCAATTACTTCAATTACCTGTGGCAATGAAGTGAGTGCCAGTGGATGTCTGTATGAGCTGGCCGAGCTGTTGAGGTAGACGCTTACTGGGGGTATTGGACACAGTGCCGCCTGATTCACTGACGTTGCTGATAACATTTCCCTGAGAAAAAAACTCAAGGCTTAGGAGAGAGAAATGAATTTCTCTCTCATGAACAAAAACTTCCATTATATGGCATATGAATGTAATCAATGTAAGCTGAGCTCGAATTAAAACAAATTTTCATTCATCTTTAGAGCAAAATTGTAGTAAATATCTTTTAGAATTAGCTATTATGAGGTTTAAAATGGTGTTTCCAAAACATTTGAAAGCCGCAATTTACAATAAATATTTTGACAAGTAATATTAAATTAGCTGAGCTTCTCACACGAGTGCGGGAACTGACCTTGCCAAGAGCTGTAGATGGGAGCGCAACCCTGATGGTTTGAATGCCTGAGGCCGTCGAGACTTGGATGGTCTGCAGGTTACTTGCCATTATAGTGCGCATGCTCCCGCCGGCAACCTGGCCACATTAAACCATTAGCAAAATGATTGCCTTCATAGAATTAAAAAAAATATCAGCCCTTTCTTATAATTTATATGTCCCCAGTGAATTTAATGTAATTTAACTGAACACATTTAATTAAAGGTAAAGGTTTAAATCCTAACTATATCTTAGTAAGGAAAAAAAAAAGATTAAATCAATATATGAAAGCTAAAATAGGTTTACCTAGAACTTGGTTCAACGCTCTTTTCAGTTTTCATTGGAAACTGGTAAAATCGTCACACCGTAAGGAAGACAACAACGTTCATATGACAATAACATCTTTAATTAGCATACCTTAAGAACTGTGTTTGAGGGCGTGGACGTCGACAGCGAGAATATGGGAGCCCCAGAAATAGTGGCCGTAACAAAAGCCCCAATAGACATTGTATTTTGAGCAGCTGTCGTTATAAGTGCTGGAGAAGATAAGGTTACTGCAGGTGTTGATGACGCTGTGGATTTGACTAGCAATCCCTTGACGGTGAAAGTGGATCCAGAGTTTATTGCAACTGCGGAGCCAGTGTAGATGGAGGAACCAGTATTGGTAGAGTTTGGGAGAGCATTGTTGCTATTGATGAGAGAACTTTGGCCTGTGCTAAGGAGAGTGTGCTGCACACTGCCTGCAGTGTACGAAACCTGCAACGACGAAGTGCATGAGAAAATATATATTTGAAATTAAAGGTTTAACTACAGAACATCATAAGAGACGTTAATACATTAACTTCTGCCTTGACCGGAGAAATACTTGTATGAACTAATTGAATATATATATATATATATAGAATAAATATTGTTATGAACATAGCAAAATTTAGCTTTAAATAAATCCAGGTACCTGTGGTCCTGCAACAGCATTGATGGAACTAAGCAAAGCAGCTTTATTGTTGTTGCTGTTGATGTTCCTGAGTATCGTGCTGCTGATGTTGCTCGCCACGGTCCCGCTCAGCGCTTGGTTGCTCACGTCGCGCTTGACTAGAATATCTTCAGGTAACATCGCCACTTGTACTCCTTCAACCTGGAGACAAGTGAAACATCGTCATTCTGATTATCTTCATTATTTATTGTTGCTAAATTGTAATTTTCAGCTAGTAGTCTTCAAAGCGACGGTATCTTAGTAAAGTAGAAACATTCAATGGTTCTTTGATACAGATTTATCAAGGAGTAACAACACACATTAAGTCAAGAGAAGTAGACATAAATTGTTGCTATTCTTATCAGTATTTTTCGGAGCTTTCAACTGATTTCTTTTAGAGGAAAAGAGTTACCAGTGATCAACTGGTGTCAAAAATTGTATCCAACAATCCAATTCTTAAAGAGAGCGCATACATTGTGTGTACCAAGAAAATTTCACTGCTGCACACAGCAGTGAACGTCATACAGATAAATATTGACCATTTTTCAGAGTCGTGAAATGAACTACTTGAGGTGAACGATTCAAGAAGTAATGGAATAAATATGGCACGGCACCTTGGCGGAAGTATTGAGGGGGTCGAGGGCGACGTTGGGGGGCGGTTTGACCCCCTCCCTGCTGGGGGTCTTGGGGCGTCCGTGCCGCCGGACTGTGAGCTTCTTGGTCCGCGGCGTGCCAGGGCCATGCAGGTGGTGCATGCGCTCTGCCATCATCAGATTAATTATACCCCCTCAAGTTGTTAAATGTCTTAATTAAAGAGTTCTGAATTACCCAATATGTGCTTTGGCATTAAAAAAATGTATCCGTCAACCTATTTTTGATGTAATTACAGATTTTCAGTTTTAACTTAGATGTGCAGACTACTGATATGCAATTATAGATAGCATTATTGATACCACTTGAAGAGGCCGAGGTACTGCCGTGCGAAGTCAAAGTTACTGAGACCATCAAATCTTTGTAAAATTTGAGCCCGCGAGTTAGTTTGACCGTCACCAGCCCTTCTTTCCGTAACACTTCAACGACATATTTGTGGCTAACACGGTCCTGGCCACAATAGTATTGTTTTCGAGGCAAGAGGCAGCTTTTAGGCGAATGATGAATAGCCAGCTGGCGGCAGGCGCCTATGTGCTTTGGCAAACAGCTGGCCCCTCACGCCCCGGGCAGGAGGGGGAGGGGCTGAAGGGGCACTCGGCAACGACAGGCGAGTAATTTGTTTGCTTTGCGTTTCCCTCAAAAACCACTGGGCAAGCCTTGACTCCTCCAAGTTAGGATACTTGAAGCATAATCGGGCGTTTATTTACGTAATTTTCACCAATTTTTGATAAAATGACTTATTTCTACCACCACAGTTCTGCTTCAGAAGTGCATGGTATACCCATCAATGAAGAATAAATATTTAAACCTACGTACATGGCGAGAATGGTAGAAAAGTTGAGTGCTTCACTAACATCGGTGTTCAGTTCCAAATGTTATCCTGATAACAGTTGAAATGCAAAGTTTACAAAATTTACCTCATTGCCCACGATTTGAAAAAATAGCTGGAATAGCATTCCAAATTTGAGCAAATAGCAATTATCTTATTCAAGACGGAGTTGTAGTATGAAGAAATCGTGAATGATCCTCATTGGATTAGATGTGGCCCGATGGCGGTACCTCAGCCTCTTCACAGTGTCTAACGTCTTAACAAAACTAAACAGCTAACTTTTTCTTTTATTTTGGTTTGCCTATCTCACAAAAGACTACTCACTTAAAATGAATGTATCGAATCATGCGGCATTAATACTGGGTTTACCAAAATCTTTCTCGTCACGAATTCTGTGCAAGTAGGCCCAGAGCACAAACATTTCAGTAGCAATAATAAACATGGTCATAAAACATGGCATTAATATTGGGCTCACCGAACTCTTTCTCATCGCGGTTTCTGTGCAAGTAGACCCAGAGCTTCTTGTTGGCGAGGTACTTGACGCAAGGGTCCTGCTCGTAGTGCAGTCTGTCCAGAGCTCCAGACACGACGCTGTTCAGCGCCCCCTCGGCGGCCGTGGACTGCAGCGGTGCGACGTACTGCGACTCTCGCAGCAGCTCACAGATCTCCGCCCGAGTGCCTTCTCCGTTTGGCAGGCGGGCTACGGCGTCTCGCACTGAAATACGGTAGCCATATTGAAAATTTTTTACCACAATAAAATATGTTCACTACAATGAAATACGTTAACTACAACAAAATAGTTCACCCCATTAAAATAGGTTTACTGCAAGTAGGAAAGTGGTAAATAAGTGGCCACATGTGTCCAACCCTGCAATGCTCATGTTTAGTGAAGTCAACGGAATGATTGTTTAAAAATGAATAATATGACAAATGAGAATGATTCACGAATAATGATGCTTTTAACAATGAGCAAATATGGTCTCAAGTTATAATTTGTAATGCAAATTCATTAAATACACACAGGGCACATAAGATCTTCAGCCTTGGTGCCTACCTACGACCTTATGACCTTATGATGCAACCTACGGATATGCAACCTTATGATGCAACCTAATATAACATGATTATAACACGAGTATCATGGACGAGCATATGATATTCATAAAATCCTAAAAATCATTCAGCATTGCATGGTTCACAGTTGACAACAATAAACAATAGGTAGTACTTCAATTAATAAGGGCTTAGGTACAGAAATTCGACCGTGAACTTTTAAAATAGCATCAGCTATTGTTTAAAATATTGTCTTTTTGCTAATTGAACAATTAACTTCCTTCAAGGCTATTTAGAATGATCTAGGTAATGAAATAAGCAATGTTAAGAGAAAAAAAAGAGACTGAAAAAGAACCTTTAAGAGAGTATAAATGAGAATAAATAAGAAGTGTATAAAAATAGCATAGTAGTTGGTCTGAAGCCTGACCCAGAGCCAGTATGGTGACATAAGCAGGCCGGCTTGACGTGAGCAGAGAATGTCCCCGGGCCTTGTTGGGGCCGCTGTGCTGCGAGTAGATGCCCTTCACTGGCCCAACCACCGCCTCGTATCCGTGCACTCTGCAACCCAGGCAATGTTCACTTTGTGCTGGTATTGAACATTAATAATATGCTGCGTTTGTGAAGAAGTAAATTTCGATTTTAAATATCTTTATGTTGTCAAATACGAAAATAAATGATTCTGATAATGTTCACTCTACCTTGGCATTCAATATTAACAACAATATGCGCCATTTTTGCCAGGGTTAACTGTGACTAAATATTTTCACGTTTAGAGACATAAGAAATAATTATAGTCGCAGCAAGTCTTTCATGATATATAGAGGAACTTGATAGAGGAGAAACGCGCTTGAGACTCTAACTTGCTTTATGCAAAATTTGAAAAGAACTTAGTTCAATTTGGGAAAGCATCGTTCAAAATTTGGACTGTAGTCCATGAAGAAAAGGAAAGGGCATTGTTTATGAGCCAACATACAGCGCCTGAGAACAAATCTCATAAAAATATTCAGAAGTAACCAATTTGTTAGTGCCTTTGCCAGTCGCCTCACCTGTAGGTGAAGGCTTTGTGAGGTCGCTCGTATCTAATCTTTTCTTGCGCTCGGAAAAAATTCTTCTCTTCCTCAGATGACGGCTGCACCACCCAATTTGTGGGGAAGCGGGGCAATGGAATGCTTTCTTCCCCTTCATCCTCCTCAGCCTCCTCCTCCAAAAGCTCTTCTCTCAGGACCGATCCTTGGGCCGAGTCTTCTCCTTTTGGCAGCCAGATGTCGGACCAGCCCGACCTGCCACCGTGTAAACAATACCATATAGTTAGCCAACTCCCAGAAAACAATTTATCCAGGACTTTCACTTCACATCAACCATAATTACATTTCATGTTCAATATTTGAAAATGAAATAATCCAATAATACTAACCTGTTTGTGATCCAATGCTGGTATAGAGGCTGCAGCTTTGAATCAGAATCTCTGCCTGCACCAATCCACTGGTAAGCTTGCACTGTTTCTTTGTATTCAATATACGGCACGAAATCTGGTGGCTGGAGTTCGGGTGAGAACCCGGCCAGAAAACAAATGGCAGCGGGCAGAGCTTGGAGCCACAACATGGGAGGATGTAACTGGCTGACATGCCTGTGCCAGGTGTTACTTGACCAGTTATTGCCAGAAGTAACTATGGACTGTTGCCAGGCCTCAACACAGCATTCAAGCTGAGGTCTGGTAAGGCGCTGGTCGTTTGGCTGACAAATGATGTCACGCAGTAAACAAAAGAAGCATGCGTGCGTCTGCGGTAGTACGGAGACCTGCATCTCTTCACTGCCACATCTGTGGTAACGGAGAAAATCTTATTGATCTAATGGTCAGAATAGTATTAAAGAAATCTAATAGGAAAAATACAAAATTTATAAAAACTTCAATGACTCATAGTATCAAATTTGACAAAGACAAATACAATTGAAACCATCAAACAGATTGACTACAAAATAATGGTGATTTTATAAAAAACGAGGCATGTTTTTTTAAGTTAAGACCGTTTTGGACTTAAAAAAAGACGTGCAAAGAAATCGCAATAATTTTATTTTTACAGGAAAGCCTGTACCTTAACTTACTTTTCTACATAATTTGCGTGAATATTGATTGAGCCTGAAATTCTGCCTCCTGACTCGTCAGGTGGCAGAATTTCAGGCGATTTTAAAGCAGAATTTCACCTCCAATTCAGCAGAATTCAGAATTGCACCTCCAAGTTAGGCGACAGAATTTTATCAGGAGGGTATTCAAAAACTGGTGCCACGTTATGCCAAGTGCCTCAATATTCACGGAAATTATGTAGAAAAGAAGATTAAGGTACAGGCTTTCATGTAAAAATAAAATTATTGCAGCATCTTTGCACGTCTTTTTTCAATTCCAAAACGATCCTTACAGGAAAAACATGCCTCGTAGTTAGTTACATCTCTTGTAAGTTAGTTACATATCTAAAAAACATGCCATAGAGATCATGAGATGTAAAATTAATATCATAGCATTACTCTTCTGGCAATGCCGTAATTACAAGTAAGAAAAATTACATAATAAAATATTCAGAATGGATTTTGATAAGATTATTGAGGAACAAGACTGACCTGCTATTAAGAAACAGAGAGTCTTGGCTAGCCACAGGGCGGTCGTCTGGAGGCTCGTCCTTGACTGCTGCACCATTGCTGACAGTTTTTTCCTTCGAGCTTTGTTCCGGTACCCTAAGACAGGACAACGATTGAAAATAGCCTTATAAATTGCTAGCACCTAGAATTATGAAAGTTAACACTTCCTTTAACATGTTACAACAAATAACAATTAAAATACGTAATCATTTCTGGCATAGCAGAACAATATCAGTATGAAACCCATGCCTAAGGCAGCATATAGATGTTATTCTAGTCAATCTGTGCCACCCAGAATAAAAGATGTATAAAAACTGTGTATCATATGAAAAAATAAACGAAAGGTATTAATGCAAAAAGATATCGGCAAATTACTTCTTCTTAATAGAAGGCAGGATACCAAGTTTCATGAGTCTCTTCCTGCCCTTGAAGTCTCCTTCAGTGGAGCTAGCTTCATTCTTGACCTCTCCAGACCCCAGCGACACGTAACGACTGAAGGCAGACAAGGAATCTCCATCTTGATCATTATCAATTAGAACATTTTGTTCATCATCCTCATCATCCAGGTTTTCTGTCTTGAGGGTCGTTATGGGACTCCAGCTTCTACTTCCAGTATCATGCGTTATGCGTTCTTTCTTCACTTTGGTTTTTGAGGAGCATTTATAGTCGGTACGGACTACAGACACGCCAGCGGGGAGACGCTTGCTGCTCTCACATGTGCGCCAGACGATGTCATTCAATCGGATGCCGGAAATATCACTCCATAAGCAGTACTCCCCCTGAAGAGGTAAATCATTCTGTAAGATGACATTAAAAAATATTCTGACCTTATTCTTATAAAATATTCTGATATTAAAGCTGACAATTTTTCGGTACATAAGATCTACTTAAGTTAAAAGAGATATTAGCAGTAGATGAAAAAACTACTTTACAATAAACATAAATAAATTATGAAAACAAACGCAAAATAAATTGAACTCGTACATTCTTTCTCTTGGTGCGTTTCTTATAGATGTATTTAGTTAAGAGATCGTCGAAATTGGCCTCAGTAAGCTCAAGAGGATTGTACTGCATTGTCATGGCCAGCTCCAGATCTCTACCAAAGCTGCCACTGGAATGAGTGTGTCGTATTGGCAGGAGCTTCTGAGGTAGGCTGGCCTCAGCACTGCACAGCAGCCGACGCTGCTTCTTGCTCAACACAGCTCCTCCTCCCTCTAGAAACATAACCAATTTTATTATTTTCCATGACCAATAACTATAAAATTTATACTTGACTAAACAGTCAAGCATGAGACTAGAACAGTACTTTAGCCTAGCATCAAATTGATTTCAACATGTAATGAATAAAATAAGTTTATCAGCAGAGGAAAATTTACCTGGATAGTTTTCATCTTCTGACAGCTCTGCAGAAAGTCCTGCTTCAGATTTAGCTGCCAGGAGCTCACGGAAGTATCTTTTCTTAGTTTTTTGGTCAAGAGTTGCCTTCCATGAACTTGTTGAGCAAATACTACTAGCTTGGGCAGATGAATTATATCCATTTATGCTCATGAGACTAGTTGATGGCTGAGAGATGCGCACAGGACGGCAGTCTGGGCCCAGGGTTTTGGCCAAGTCAATGTACTGCTGCCGCCGCACGATGGTTGCCTCTAATGTACATCTCAGGTACTCTGCATGCTCGTGCCTAAATAATGAATTTTTAAGAATAAAAACAACATTATTCCTGATATACATCAGAAGGAATTTATATATTTCATAAATATTTTTCATTAGGAGAATAAAACAATTTGCTAGGTAAATTTGCAACAAAATAAAATAAAATAATATATATGAACTGCAAGAAACATCAAATTTTCATTAGACATCAGAAAGAGGCTTGAAAATTTTCCAGAAGAATTTACAGATCATAAATGTCATTAAATTCATTAATTTCCAATGGTAAGGAAAATATTTAAAGGAAAAGCCTTTTATTCATGACATGATGCAATTACAAATTTAACAACAAATTATTATTCTCCTTCAGCTGCAGAAAACTGACAGCATACCTCCAAATTTTTCTATTGATTTGCTCTCTCTTTTTGCGCTGCTTGGCAATGTTTGGGTTGAAATAGCCAGACTGAAGCAGTCGGTGGAAGTTTCTGAGTGGTGTGCCATGTCTGAAGTTGACGTCCATGAAGAACATTTCCAATGTATGAGTCTTCAATTCCAGATCATTTTCAGGGAATGTAGGTAGATAGTTCTGTTGAAATAAGACCATCATGGTTATTATGAGCACTAAGTAGTATGCACAAGAGAAGCATATCAAATGCAAAGATACAAACTGTTAAGAGTGAAATCAATCAAAATAAACAATTATAAAATATAATGATGCTGCATACGTGGGCTAAGCTCTGATAAACTATAATCTAAAGGACAAACCATTAGTTCTTCTCTATTTTCTTCTGTGAGGCAATTGTTCCATGTCTCTGGAGAAATGATCTCAGCCAGAAGAGAATAATCCCAGCAAATATCTTGTGGCAGCTCCAGCCGTACATCGCCAAACTCCACTACTTCCAACTCCATGGTAAAGAGTTTGCACCTCAAATCGCTGTAAATACAGAAAGAAACCATTATATGCATCTTGGCAGAGGAGATAAAATGCCAACTATTTCACAAGAACTGAACCATTTTCAAAGCGCATTATTAAGTCTTTCAATAAAAGGACTCAAACCAAAGATCAAGCAACACTGAATGAACATTCAAACAACTTGCCATACAAGATCTAAAAATGATTGAGTTAAAGCAATGTTAGCCCTGCAAATTTAAGCCAAAAACAATGATAATTAATTTTAAACAAAATTATCTTAATTATTGGCCTTTGCATATTGAATTATTATCACAGAAGCCTTTGCCTACATTAATCAACTGTCAGAGGTGCACTCTTTATCAGGTCATGAGAGTTGCTGAATCAAAGATTTCAAACTTGAGATCAATTTGACACCTTGAGTCAGTGCAGGCTGCCATGCAGCTTGAAATTAATGGAATTAGTCTGTGCTACATACTTTGCCAAATTGAGATCAAAATGCATGTGTTTTTACTCAGGTGTAAAAATCTACGTTTTGGCCCAAGTCTCAATTTCTGGAGTACAAATCCTGACCATAAAAAGTTGAAATTCATTTAAGATACTAAAGTGCCATTTGAACATTGGGCTTCTGGTGTCATACTCAATGTTTTTGAAAATATCCTATATTTCTGTACAAACTCAAAAGAAAAATTATTCAGAGCTAAAAAATCCAGAAACAGCTATGAAAGCTCTGAAACAGATCAACCTGGCAATTTATTAACATATACACAAAAGAAAATTATTTTAGAGGAAATCGCCTACCTTCAGAAATACCAGGTAAGCTCAAATAATCTTACACTCATGTGATACTGCATCACCTAGAATGTAATTCTCATACTTTTCACTGAAATCTAGCAACTCCAAAGTGACAAATTTTAGCTACATTTTGTAAGTTGCAGCCCAATCATACACTTTTAATAGCAGTAAGATAGGAGGTACATAATTCACCTAGCAGGAATCTCACAGTTTGGAAAATGGTGGAAAAGCTCTAGTTGCAGCTCAAAAGGTAGATATACTCCAGGCCAGTGCATCACCATTACCAACTATGATGGACACTGGACAGATGGTGATGCTGAGTATGCTGATAAATGACAATATCAATAGGACAGTTCAGACAAAATATACAAAAAAGAAAATGAATTCAAATGAAATTTGGCTTCACTCTCTCCAAAACACGCTTCTCAATCTTCCATCTCACACTCTTTACACCCAAACACTTCCTAACATCCCACATATTCACACCTCTTGCTTGCATTTGCCTCAGAGGCTGGCAATTCTGATCACTCCACACATATCTATAACACTTATCCATCCACTTTTGCAACCGATTCATATCCTTAACATACCACTCTCTCTCTGATGCCTGACATCATACAACAAACTACTCTCTACACATGCCTCCACCACCCTTGCCTGACGCTTAATAGACATTCTCGACCCCTTCAGCCACCCTTTTACTCTCCATCAAAAATTTCTAGCTCTCTTGATCCTGTTATTCATCTGCTTCCGAACTCACCCAGCTCTCCAGTACTCTAATTTCACTCCTCTCTTCCATCCCAAACTCCAGCACCTCCTCTTTCTCCTCATTGTTCCGTTCCTCCCACTGATTCATCACTTCTTTCACTGCTCTCACATCATTGTCAATCTCACTGCTCTCACATCATTGTCAATGTATCATCTGCAAACAAAGCCAAGGACACTTTTGCTCTTACACACTCACTATACCTCTTCTCCCATGCACTCTCACCAGCAAAAGAACCCCCCTGGCACCCATCTCCATGTCACCCCAACCTCTTTCACTCACTCCCTCCTTCCCTCTCACCTTGTAAACAGTTGACTCGTGCAGATCCACAATCTTATCCAAGCATTTCCCTTTCATTCCATACCTCTCAAGACAATTTCTACAAACCCGGTTTATTCACTCTCGGATATGCTTTTTTCAAATCCATCAGGCCACTCCTCTTTATTCATGCCCTCATTCTCATTCAGTTTCATTCTTCTCTTCAAATCGGCCACATCCTTTTGCATACGGACCATCATTTGAACCACATCTGCTGTCAACCTTACCTTTTGAAACCCTGTCTGTTCCTCATTTGATAACCCCAATTGCTCAACCCACCATGCCACTCTCTTTGCTATCACCCTCACATGTATCCTGCTCCCCCATACTCAACAGACATACCTCCCTATAGTTATTGCAGTCATTCCTATCACCCTTCTTACATCATGGAATCATAATGCCTACTTTCAAAGATTCATCCCATGCATACACTCTACTCGAACATTTCTCTCACCAACTCAATCCCTCTGTCTCTCACTCCTTCATCTGCTCACTTAATATATCCAATCCTCACTCCATCTTCCCCAGGTACCAACTCTTTCATTGCTGCAACAATCTCTTCTCTTTTAGGCACTTATTCAGTTGATCATTTGCCTATTTTGCTCTCTCACACTCTTACAGGTCAGTTGCACCATTGACCGCTCATTCCATCACTCTTGGCGGCTTCTCTTCATACCTCTTGCATGTCACTCTTTCAAAATGCTCCTTAAATTCATTCACACAGATATTTGCACTTGATCCCGCCTTGCATCGCCATGTGCCAATCTTCCTCAAACACTTGTACATGTCTCCCTCTCTGCCGGTCACACACACTTCCTCACATTCCCTAACCTTATTCTCCCACCACTCTCGTTCAAGATGCCTCAACCATCTTTGCAAAGCTCTCCTCGCCTGCTTCACCTCCTCTCTTGCTCCAGCCAACTCTCTCTAGCCTCTCCATCAATCTACCATCTCTAATCTGCCTCAGCCTTCTCCTATTACCCGCCAGTTGCACCTTTTCATTTCTCAAATGCACCGCCGTCCTCACTCTCTCATTCAGCACACTAAGCTCATCTTCACACCCAATTGTCCAGGGATTTTGAACCCCCTTCTCACATACTCCACATGCTTCTTTTGCCCCCTCAGTCATCACCCCTGCAAGCACTATCCATTTATTACCTTCATTTATTCTCTCATTTGCATCAGCCATACTTTTATTTGTTTCCACTTTGTGTCCTTCCCTCTTCTGTTCTTTCAACACCTCCCGCTTTATCCTTGGCACTCTCTTTGTATAACCCTCCTGGCACTCTTCATCTTCTCCCCTTCACTCTCACAGCCATAACTACTGGCTTGTGGTCTGAAAACTCATATTCCCCATCCATCCTCATTTTTTTACCATCAACCTTATATCAATCTTCCAATTATCTTGCTCAGTGGAAAAATTTCACTTAACATAAAATTAATGCATAATCACTCATCACAAAATTGTGCATAGAATGTCATAGACAAAATTGAGCACTGGCAATAAATAATGAAAATAAATTAACCTAAACTATGATTTATTTCTCCAAAAAAATATGATGGTTCTCACTAAAATATTCCTTCCTGTTTCAGGTATGTTTATTTTGATATTTTTTGTTATAGTGAAATGACTTGACTTGATTAAAATTGTGCAAAATTACAAGCCGTCCTGTAAGCTTACAGATATAGACCAAGAAATGCTATATGGCTACTGATATGAAGCTTGCAGTGGACAAGGTCATATTCAATGCTCAATGGCATGTCCATGGATACGATAATATCATATCATTAAAGAAAAAACAAGAAAAAATCACAGAAAATGTCATTTATTCTAAATTTATATCATCTACAAAGGAAGAGGAGGACTTCAGAGTACTGTTAGTACCGTCAACCGGGGCTACTCGGGATGGTTTTGAGCATTTTTTGTTAACAACTTCTTACCATGAAACATTTCATAAACAAGTTTAGGCTCATTTTATAGCTCTTTGCGAGGGCTATCAAATGACATCTTCAAAAAAATTCCATATGCTATTCGTAAGGTGCCAGAAGCAAAAAAAGTGTCCCAAGTAGCCCCATCAAACGGGGCTACTCGTGACACTTGGAATAAAACTTCATTTTAAAATATTTGAAGCATGCAGAGTGTACTCATCCATTACTAACAGTACTCTGAAGTCCTTCTCTTTCATTGTAGATGATGTAGAGGTAGAATAAATGAGTAGCCCTGCCGTGCGGAAATGGCTGCCATTTTTTTGGGATTGAGGTATGTAAATTCCGCAAATAAAGGTGTCAAGCCAACACCTGGGTGCAACTTTTATGTAATAAAATTTTTTAATACAGCAAATATTTTATTTACTACAGACATTAGCAGAAGTGACTTTTGAAAATAGTGTTTTTCATAATTTTTTTCAGGAATTTTTCAAAGCTAGTAAATGAAGTACGGTATTTTTTGACTTCCTTTATACTACATAGATAGGAAAAATCTTGACATTTACGCCACTATATTTAGTTTTGCAATATTCCAATTAGTTTTGCTACTAAATCAGTTTTACGCCCTGTCGGAGGACTGTCCCGAGTTACCCCACCAGTCCCGAGTAGGCCCGGTTGTTACTGTGCGGTTGACGGTAATGGACGAGTACACTTTGTATGCTTTAAAATTAAGTTTTATCTTTAGTGTCTTTGATTACCCTATTTCCAGATTAATTCAAGAGGCTGTCAGGCTGTTATATTGCATCTAGCACCTTACAAATAGCATATGGAATTTTTTTGGAGATGCCATACGATAGCCCTTGCACAGACCTTTAAACTGAGCAGAAGTTATTAATAAAAAATGCTCAAAACCATACCTTATTACCCAGTTTGATGGTAGTTTTGCCAGACACACACTTGCCATTAACTTAGGTGCATTTCCTACATAAATTTTTTCACCATATATGCATTTGACTTTCAAAAACTTGTGCTGAAATGTATATGGCCTAATTCTCATTTACATTTCTTAACCCTGAATAAAAAATGCCTGCGTGTTTGCCACCCTGATGCTAACATCCCAACACCACCATGGAATTTTGGATAGGTAATATATTCTCAGGTCTCACTAAAGATTGCCATGTTTTTGTCTCACCAAAGATACAAAAAATAAAACAGCAAAAAGAAAACATGTCAAGACATCATAAAATGTTCTTACTAAAACTTTGCGCAAGCACGATTTTAGCACATGTCACTGAAAGTTCTATCAAACACTTATGGCTACATCGATCTGTCTGATTTTCAGTGGAGAGATGCAGAAAAACATAGGGAACAAATCCTGACATTCCAAAATTTTTTAACTCTACTACTTTTCGAGTTACAGCCATTCAAAGTTGAGTATCGTTTTTTTTGGGACACTCTGTATAACAAAAAGGACTCGGCGGCCTTCCATGTTACACTTCCCACTGCTATACCAAGATGTACACTGAGCTCATGAGAGGCTGCCACTAGTTTGACATTGCACAATTTACTGACTGCATTTAGATCTATGTGGTGCCATGTTTACTTTTCTTTCTGGTCTCAAAATATCAATAATACCAACACTGAAGATAGCAATGTCAATGTTTGGGCAATGTCGAATTTGATTTCACAATAAATAGATTTGATCCATGATGAGATTTAATTAAATGATGAAAAGTTGTTTCAATATTAAACCACCTTTTTACTTGTCCTTATAAATTTTTTTGTGCCGTTTTTTCCATATTGTCTCACCCCCTTTAGTTCAGATAACACTGAAACAAAAGAAGGCTCAGGAATAATTTTGTCTCCCATTGTGAGTTTCCAAATGTGTCATGTCTTTCAGAAAATTTTCCTTGTTTGTAAACATTAACTACTTTTATAAATGAGAGAAGCAGGATTTTTGAGAACTTGACATGTGTCATGTGGTATTATTAAAGTTATCTAGAAGTGATGATTTCAGAATTTAAATCCCCAAAACTTGTATAGAAGTAATTAGAATTCATAACTTGATAAATAAGCAAGTTTTATAATAATCCAAAATACAGTGCAAAAATTAATGATCAGTTATGACTCTCTGGAACCTTATGAACAAGGTTTCACAATTTATAAGAACAGTGCATAAATTAGTAAAAATGACATTTGGTTATTAAATTTAACTTTGATGCACAAAATTCATCGAGGTTATATTAACAAGTCAATGGTAGAAAAACACAAAAAATGTGCGGGTTGCTGTCAAACGGGGTAATAATGGATGGTTTTGAGCATTTTTTGTCAACTCATTATCATGAAACATTTCATAAGCAAGTTTAGACTCATTTTAAAGCTCTTTGCAAGCGCTATTTTATGGAAAATTTAAAAAATTCCATATGCTCTTTGAAAGGTGCCAGACACAAAATAAAAGCATCCCGAATTACCCCTGGAATGGGATAATCCAAGACACTTAAAATAAAAATTAATTTTAAAACACTTGAAGCATGCAGAGTGTACTCATCCATCACTAATAGTAATCTGAAGTCCTCCGCTTCCATTGCAGATGATGTAGATGTAGAATAAATGACATTTTCTGTGATTTTTACTTGTTTTTCCTTTTTGATGATATTACAATATCCATACATTACCATATTAATAATGTGATATTACCCTACTGCATCCATGAACATGCCATTGAGCATTTACAACAACCTTGTCCACTGCAAGTCTGCAAGCTTCATATCAGCAGTCGTATAGCACTTTTCTGTATCTGTAAGCTTACAGGACAGCTTGTAATTTCACACCATTTCAATTGGGTCTTGTGATTTCACTATAACAAAAAAATATAAAAAAAACGTATATTACCTGAAGCAGAAAGGAATATTCTAGTGACAACCATCATATTTTTTGGAAAAATAAATCATAATTTAGGTTAATTACATTTCATTTTATGTTGCTCTATGCACAATTCTTTCTATGACATTATTTGCACAATTTTATGAATGATGCATTGATTTTTTGTTAAGTAAATTTTTTGCTGAGCCAGGTAGATATAATCAAAATTTGTTGTGGTTAATTGATTTCTTGTGAAATGGAGCCTTTGCTAATTGAATTTCAACATAAATGCGCTTTTTGGGTAGGGGGTGTCCGTTAGTACCCCGGGGATGGGGGGGATGTCCCTTTTTACCCCCTCTTCAGGAAATGGCTGGCATTTTTTTTTTAATGAGATATGCAAATTCTGTCAATCACATTTTTTACCTAACACCTTTGTGCAACTTGTGTGTAAGTAAAATTTTTTTATATGGCAATATTTTTTTTTGCTACAGACCCTAGCAGAGGTATGTTTCAACATCTCACTTTTCACACTTTTTTCAGAGATTTTTAGAGGTAGTAAATGTATGATTTCTTAACTTGCTTCATGCTACATAGGATAGTAAAAATATTGAACTTTACACCACTATTTTTAGTTCTGCAATATTTTGATTGGTTTACCTGCTACAACATTTCTACAAAATGAGGGACAACTGTCTTAATTTACCCCATCCATCCCTTTTTACCCCATTTAACAGTACTTGAAGAAATCATACTCATTTAATTCATATACTACCTAGGCTATTATCCCACTTCTGAGACTGAATCAGAGACATTGAAAAATATTGATTATTTGGAAGTCAAAACACACTTCTATCATTATGACAATGCAAAGTTTGGAAAATTACCTTATTCTTGAGAAGGCATGGAAAATATCTCTTTACAAGCCAGTGGCCTGCATATGCAAAGTAGAAAATAGGTAGATCAATAGATTAATAATGGACCCACAACTATTGTTGAACTATAAGTACAGCAATCTCTTGATTAGCACGGTTTTGATTAACGCGGAAAAAAAATTTGCGACCTACCCTTAATCTACGCATCGTTAGCCTTAAACTGGTCAAGATCCCTGCCATATCTACTGCTCACTTTTATCAAACTACATAATTTTCCTTTCCTTTGCTATTTTTGAGGATTCATTATAATTATTCCCATATATTCTTAAGTTTGATTAGCGCAGTTTTGCTTAACACGGTAAAACTTGGGGATTTATTAATCGCGGTAATCAAGGGATTGCTGTATAGCCTAATTGGGTGCCATGGGTGGTAGGGAAAATGCTGTATTTTCCGACACATTAAGGACGTATAAAAAAATGAATAGCTATAAAAAAATCACCATATGCGCAACTCAAGTTCTGTTTGTTTTACATCACTCTCAAAACACCGCACTATGCGCCAGCAACAATGAAACGTCACAAACTGTTGCCATATTTATTTAAAAGCCTTTAGAATGCAAGCCTATTAAATCCATAAATTTCGACACTGTGTGTGACTAAATTAGGCATTTTGTGAGACTAATTCTGGCCACACTTCAAACTACTAATTCGTAATTCCAACCCTCTTGTGTTCAAATTCCGATTGCTGTGGCCTGTGTCTGTGTGAGCTGTATTGGAATACGACACAGCTCAAAATTAGAACACTATTGAATATTGAGCATTACTTAATTATGCTTTTAATTAAGAGCTATTAAGCTTTTAATTAAGAAAATTTCAATTTTTGCACACAGCTTGGAACGAGCTGTGTGTGTCTAATTCCAAGCTGTGTTGGAATTAGTTTCTATGTGTCTAAAACCATATCCTAACTTAATCATCTATTAATTTATTTACCACTTGAAATCAGCTGAAAGGATTCCTAATATATTCACAGGCTTATTTAAAAGACTCAAACCATAATATCATTTTTACACAAACAGTTTATCACTATTTGGTAGAGCAAGGTCTGCTATCAACTTTGACATGTTTTTTGATGTTCTCACTGGGTAGGCTAATGTGCACAGTCTCTCTTTGGATCTTAACATTTTCCTGCCAGTTGCCAGACGGCCCAGACTCAATGTTTTGTCAATAGTATGGTGCGCAACAGTATGACATCACTATTTCAACCATCAACAAATGCGTGGAACTAAGACAAATCTTAATATAATGGAAAAGGTTGAGAAGTGTTGGAATTACCAACGATGTTGGAATATACCGCGTTTACCACAATTGGCCTTCCTTTTTTTCATTTTTTTGAAGCTGCAAGATTTTTACCAAATGAATCATCTCCTTTCTAATTGTTAACCAAAGTGTATGATCATTGATCAAGCCATAGGCCCTATGATTCCAAATTTCTAAGAGCTTGAAAATATTTCAAACTAAAATTTGAACTTTCCAATGCTGCTCTTAGTTTCCTTAGGCTTAGTTTGGATCCTACTATTTTATTCAAAAACACAATATCACATAATGACACATAGCTACCTATCCTACTTTATTAGAAATTGAAAAAAATAACAATAGGCCTATATATATGATAGCCTATATAGTATATCAAAGTAAAATCTTCGTTTGCTGCAATTTTAATCAAAATACCTGCTGGGCAAGTGGCAACAAAGCCAGTGTGTTGTCTACACATATTGTACAGCTAAATAACTAATTATTAAAAGCTGTCAGGTCCAATTCATTTGACATATCAAATCATTCAAATGTCATGTTTATACCTACTCAGTACTACAAAGTACTAGCAATAAGCAAGTAAAAATTTCGGTTGGTTTTTAAATAGGCATGAACCTTACATACATAATTAACATTTAGGTAACAAGATTGAGCGTAAAATGCACACACTCCTTACCAAATGAGAAATAATGGTGCAAAGGAGTAGAAAATGACGAATTTCGCCGTCTTCGAACCATGACTTCAATTTTTGCAAGAAATTGGGTTTGCTCTGTGACGCAAGATTTCAGCCATATTTCTTTTAATAAAATCAGCCAATTTCATTTTTATGGGAGAAAAAGCTCGAAATTTGTGACATTTTATATCCATTTTCCGATTTATAATATCAATCAAAAGAATTCTTTTTATTAATTAAATAAATTTGTCGTATTTTACGTCGAAGGAACATATTCCCAACGTTTTAAAAGAGTTTGATGCTTCAATTATCGCGTTGAGACTTAAGGTCGGAAAACTATGACCTCGGGAGGTAATATTAGACTATTTACGGTGCAATGCCGTCAAACGGATGCTTGCCGTTCAAACACAGTTTATTTTATTTGAGCCTCTTTTGGTTCAAACACAAGCTGGTCTGGTGGGTTTGGCGACCTACTGTAGCCCATATTAGAACTAATAGTTCAACCATGACCTAGTCAACCGCTTCAGAATTATTTTTTTCAGTTTTCCCCATGAACGAGCTCTAACAAAAAGTTTAAACAATTGAGATTGGCTAGAAATTTTAGTGTTATAAGGATAAACATGTAATTGCATTGTGTTGCTTTTGCTGTGATGCGCTTGGAACCCATCGCACGTCTCGGACAATTTTACGGCCGGACTAGCTGCTCTATACACAGCGAAAATTATACATATACACAGCGACCATGAAATATCTCATAAATTCTAAAATAATCAACACAGCTTGATGAAACTGTGCACTGGTATTTTTAAGGACCTAAAGGTGATGTCCAGCCCGTGTGAATTTTTTTCCATTTCGCCTTCGTTCGCGAGTCAGACGCAGCTGTCCGGCGACATGACAAGCATTTCTGCGGCTGATTTTTACGGCCGGCTTCGAAAAATTTCATCGACCATAAACATCGACCATATTTCATCATAAACTAATGGACGTAGCCTAATGAAACTTTCTACGTGTATTTTTTAGGATCTAACGGCAAAGTCTAGCCCGTGTAAATTGTTTCGATTACGCCCTCGTTCTCGACTTATATGGTCATACACGGAATCCAATACAAATACATGAACATTTTAATACATAAATATATATACATATTCACTGAGCATTAAATTCTCTGTACAGTTGCCTTTTTTGTTGCATTCGTGATCAGCAACTCTTCCCAATAACTTGAATAATTTCTTGTATATTTGTTTTTTCGTGTTAAATGTATTCATCAGACATTCATTTCTCATGTCTATCACAACCCTCTATCACAACTCTCCATCGCAACTCTATCTTAACTCTCTATCTCATCTCTCTACCTCAACTTTATAGCCATCAGCAACCTAAATCAGCTCTGAGCTCCGTACTTCGTTGTTACCCATAAATTGTGTGCCATGTTGTCAACCAAAATCGACATAAACCAGCTCCGACCTCCGTACTTCGTAGTTACCCATTAACTAAGAGTCATGTGTTCTGCCAATTGCGACCTAAATCTGCTCCGAGCTCCGTACCGTTTGGTTCCTCTCAAATTGCGTGTCATGTGTGTCTTGTGTTCAGCCAATAGCGACCTAAATCTGCTCCGAGTTCCGTACCTTACGGTTGCTCATAAATTGAGTGTCATGTGTTCAGTTAATAGCGACATGAATCCACTCCGATCACCGTTCTTCGTAGTTACCCATGAACTGTGTGCCATGTGTTCGGTCAATAACGACCTAAATCTGCTTCGACCCTCGTATTTCTTAGTTACCCATGAACTGTGTACCATATGTTCAGCCACTAGCAACCTAAATCAGGACTGATTCCCATACAGCGTTGTTCTTCCAAGACTGTGCCAAGTGTTCAGTCACAGTATACAGAAGTAGGTTGAAAATTTATATTTTATTTCAGGCCGAAAAGTCTGACTTGGCCTTCAAATTTTGGGACGACTGAAATAACCCAGCATTGCCCAATACCAGCATAATTTTCATACTTCACCCCGTGCGCAAGCATGCTGCAGAGCAAATTAGCCAACATGATTACTTGCTGAAAGCCACAGGGACTAAATTCCTTCATGGATGTAAACCAGCGAGCCAATGACCTGCAAGCCGCCAAAACAATGGTCGTGAGCCACAC